CCCCCCCCCGTTCTTTGGGGGCCGCCGGTGTTGCCGTGTCTGGCGTAAGTAATTCCATTTGCCCCTAGGAAAGGCGATGCGTAGCATGTTCTTTTTGCCGCAACCAATATCACTGCCGATTGCTGCAGCTTCCAATCGCAAGATATGCCACTCCCGTTCGCCACTTTCTCGCTCCGGTGGATCTGATGCGGACGCCTTCCTTCGCACCACATAATTCCTAAAGAACCACATCACACGCACAAGTAGCGCTGTCTCCTGATATCGACTGCTCCTGTGTATCGAAGGTGCCGCGTGCCCCGGCGAGCGAGTAACGGGGACGCCCAAAACGCCAGCCATGGTGTCGGCCGCGGCAAAGGCTCTACTCTCCTCCGGTCGGGCAAGGTCATCGGTCGCGACATGCGCCGTCAGGGATACCTGGCGCGGTTCGAGGCTACACCAGGCGGCGGCGGCGGCGTCGGTGGTGTGAGCGAGGAGCTTATCCCGTGGGAGGATGTCGTCGCCATAAAGTGAGTCAGACGTCCGTTTGTACCAGGTAGTGCTCTTGCAAGCTGTGTGGCGTTATGCTATTGCTCTCTCCGTTGTTGTTGTTGNCCCCCCCCCCCCCCCCCCCGGGGGGGGATTCCATTGATCGTCGAGGGGGTCCGATTGACTATCCCTTAATTACGGTGAAGGTGAAGGTGAAGGTGAAGGGTTGAGTGATCGCTCACCCCCGGACCGACTTAATAGTACTCGGTTGCTCTCCGACCAACATCTTGCCAATGCCGATTTGGGTTTCTATTGTTTTTTTTCAAGTCTCGAGCCGTCTTGGCTGCGGAGAAGTCGAGCTCCATCTAGGTGGTGTGCTATGACTCGCACCTTAACGGTAACACTCAATCGGGAACACTGACTTTGATCCTTTCCACGTTCAAGTGTCGTATCCCGTGGTTTCACCTCTGGAACTACTCTCGCTCAATTGTAGAGCACGCAATGGCTTTCCGGGCTATGTAGGCCAATAGACAGGGCATGAGCTTGGAGGCAGTCTGTCCTTGACTCTCAGCCCCGTGGAAGGATATAGAAATAGTTTTCCAAGGTCAGAGTGGGGGATGGGATACCGCCGTCCTTTTCCCCACCGGTTGTTTCGAGCGACGCCCCCGCCGGCATCACCCGATCTCGTACTGAACCTATATACTACCCCGATTGTTTTTTTTTGTTTGTTTCTTGGCAGGGACCCTGGTGCAGCCATCCCGATCTTCAGCTACCTGTCGCTCAACTCCCTTCCTCATTTGCAGCAGCTGCACTTGCACTCTCCTCACGGACTGCTCAAGCAGTCGTCCGCTGCTGCTGCTGCTGCTGCTACTGCTACTGCTGCTGGGGGAGCCGCGGATAGCAGGGGTGGTGGGGGTGTTGCTAAGGCTGACGAGGGGGGAGGGGTGGTTTTCGAGGGACTGTACCAGGAGCCGAGCTTGGGTCACCTGGTGGGCCTGGTGCGGTACTTCGTGCACCAGATGGAGACTGTCTCCAAGGAGGAGGTTAGTGTACGTACGTCCGGTTTCGAAGAGGTGCCTTTCGAACCTCCGCTGCTGATCCTGACTTTTCAGTATCACCTCTTGGTACGACAGGAAGTGTGGAGGTTGCCTTTTCCAAGGGACACATGTCCCCAAAGTCTGTCTTTCGTGGACTATTGATCTTCTCCTGGGGAGGTTGTGCCTATTTTTGTATGAACGGGATGTCCACAAGAGTGTTACACTACACTGCATGTTGTCGTTTATGGAGATCCCAGACGGGGCGAGGCTACCGGCGGCAAAGGGGCGTGTCTAGCGTTGGCCAGCATCAATCCCAGATGTGTACATCCCCAGGGCTGAACCGTGACAAGCGTGCCGCTGACGGCCCTGCGGACATGCGGTTGAGCGACGAAAGAACAACGTAACTCCCGCCTGAGTCACAGGCTTTGAAAAGGACGGAGAGCAATGAACCAGTCAGTCGGTCACGGTGCCACCAGTGGTGGACGTGCGAGATGGACGGGATATCTCACGGCAATAAACGAAGCCTTTGGCGGAGAGAGAAGGAATCAGCGTCGTTGTTATTGACAGGCAGACATCCCCAATCCACACACCCGCGTCCTCATGACACCCTCTTGTTCCCATGCGAAGGCACGACACGTTAGCTTGATACCCGACGTTGTTGCAAGCCTACAAATACCCTGGGCCCTCCAAGGTCTTGCTTCCTGGATGTTGCCGTTGACCCTACCTATAATCCAGGTGCCACCTAAGCACAACAAGTGCTGTGAGCGCTGACATGAAGCGAAGACCAAAAAAAAATCGAGCCGTAGCTCGAGCCTCACGGTCTCAGAAACAAAGAACGTGTACGCACACCGTGTTGAACAGAAAGAACTGTACCCTTCATCAACCGCTTCCTCGGTGAACATGCTGCCTCTACAAAGCTTGTTTTTGCGTGTGCGTCGTTGGTTTTGTCTCGGACACCCTGTACTTGTAGACCCGAACCCGACCTCAACTAAACCGACCCCCAAACCCGCATCGAAACCTAACGCTAATCATGTACCCCGAACCCCACGTTAGTTAACCACACACCCAAACCCGCATCTTACCCTAACGCTAACGTTGTACCCCGCGACATCACCACCTAAGGACTCGGCTGTCGGAGCCGGCGACATCGTCTCCAACGACGAGCGTAACGTCAGGAGGTGGCGCCTCGGCCAGCTAGGGTTCATCACGGAGACCGCCCTGTGGATGCTGGTGGTCAACGCCGTGGCTCACGAAGGAAGGGGCGGCCTTGATGGGGTGGCGGCGGGGCTGGCCCAGGCGGAGAGGAGGTCGCTGCACGACGAGCTGTTGGAGCTCTTTGACACGAGGCTTGACGAGCACGCCTCTCTTTGGGAGAACCTGGTGCGTGCGTGTCGTACGTACCATGCATTTTTTGTGTGTGTTTGAATTGAAGACAGCCAGGTCGTGCGGAAAGACGGAATCTACAGTACAGTAGTGGAGGCGAGCGGCTCAACCTTTTCCCGTTTTTTTTTTCGTGAGTCTGTATAAAAGTACGAGGAGCGGTGCAGAACGTTAGAGATTCTCGTTGCACGACGGCAGGGCGGTGTTCACAGCAACCCAACCCTAGTACTATTACAATACACCCCCTACGTACTTCATTCTGCATTTCAAAACACCCTCTACGTTTAATCTGGTTGCACACCTGATTCAACATTTCAGAAGAATGGGCTGTTCGAAAGAAGGTCCGTGTGACACAATTTCCGCTAATGAGGGTCAGGCGCAGGGCTAACCGTCCAACTGTAACAACCCGACCACTGGACGTTCCCGTTTTCGGTTCTTGGGTCGCCGCAGAGCCGCGGAGAGGGCGGGCGAGCCCCCGTTTCCATCAGCCCCGCCTTCGTAGCACACGTCAAGGGCATGATCCAGGGCTGGCTAGACCAAGCCAGGGCTAGCAAGAAGGAGAGGGATACCACCACGCCGAAGTCTCGGGCCGGGAAGTCTGGGTGGAGGGCGGCCGGTGGCCTTTGGAGCCCCCCCCGGGTCGGCGGGGCGGCGATGATGCGCCAGGTGTGTTTTGTTTTGCAGATTTGTGGTTGTTTCATCCAGTTGCGGAGTCTCTTGTCTCTCGTCTCTCGATCGACGACTGCGCTTGCCGGCTGATCGACAGACAGGCGTCAGTCTTGACAAGATGGAAAAAACGTGTCCGTAAGAGAGAAAGGCAGTGACAACGACAGGCAAGACAAGACTGACTGGCAGGCAGGCAGACATATTTTATTTGGCCCCTTAAGCGCCAGGTTCGTCGTAATGATCGTCGCGAAAATTCATGAATCGAAAGAACCACGCGCCGCGGTGACAGCAGCATGCATCTCTAGAGTCGAATTGTCCCTTGGCCATGTCTTCGTGTGCTCGTAAGCCAGTAGACGGCAGCTACGGTAGCCTCGAGACGAAGGATTTCGAACCTGGAGGGACTTCAAGAGTACCCCCACGTTGCCGACGGACGTGCGTAGTCAACAGCCCCCCCGCCAATAAAATGTCACACGGCTTGTTCCATCGGACCCCCCAGGTTAGCAGGGCTGCCGCGAGAGGCACAGGTGTATGGGGCTTACGCGATTTGTCACCAACAGAACCGAAAAACGAGCGCTGGTGCTTGTATTGTGTTGCAGCCCGCCAGGTTTAGAGCTAGTGTGGCGTCGCTCTCCCTGACAAGTATCTTCTTTTGTGACGTTGGCAAGGATGAAATATCTACACACCTCGGCGTCTTGTCCGATGACCGATGCTTCGTTGCCTCTCATGGACCCCATGCCTACTGTGTGTTCGCATGTTGTCACGTCGGATTTTTGTTCGATTTCCGCAGGCCAGCGACATGAGCGTCTCGAGAACGCCTGCGATCAACAGATGGTAATCTTCCGCCAACCTGACGGTAATCAAAATGCTCACGGTTTGGACGGACAACAAGCAACAGCTGGGGTGGGCTTAACAGCAGGCCATGGCGTGCGTTTTCTCAACGAGCCGCCTGCCTTCTTGTTATCATTGTCGAGGGTATTGTAGAGGGGGGGGCGATTATAATCGATGTTGCTGGCGTTTGTGGTAGATTCAAATTGTGTTTTGAGAGATTTGTAGAGGCTGGGGACGTTTGCCTCGCGTCCGGGTTGGTCGAGGGAGCAAGGTGTGAGGCTACCTTCAAAGGAAGCACGGTGCAGCTAGTCTTAGCCAATGCCCTCGTCCAACACCACGTGTCACGGCCTGGTTTGGCATGACTGGAGAAGCGCAACACAGTGCTCTCGTAACGGTTTCATTTCAGTATTGTTTGGGAACGGGCTTAGGAATAGCACGTTTCCAGTGGTGTGGCTAATGGTAAATGTCTCTTGGCCCACTGACCCAGGCGCCATGGATGTGAAATCAAGTTCAGCTTTGTTTTTTTTTCGAACCGTCATGAAGTCGGGTTGAAGCAAATAGTAATGTCTGGAGTTCCATCGGATCGGCACATTTTTCCCGGCAAAAAAGTATTTGTTTTTTTTCGGGTTTCGAGGACAGCTGTGATTTTTGGATTTGTCTCGACGCCAGTCGAGCCAGAGCGCTATATTTCGTGTAAGTGCACGCGATTGTTTTTCGTGGCACTGCAGGCGGTGGAGTCTGGGTCGGCATGCTGCCATTTACACCACCTACATCGTCGGTAGAGTTGTTGGTTCCGTGTCCCAGGGCCGAGCGAACCGAACGAACCTTGCCTGTGGTACTTCTTTTCTGGGAATTTTCTGGCGGGTTCATCTTGCCGCCTATTGAAGCGTGCTCGGCGTGCGGAGGGACGAAATGATTTGATTGGATTTGCTACAAATCTCGCGTGTAGACTAGGGGACACACCAGTAGGGTTAGGAGCGACGGCGGCAAGATCATAGAAAGCGTTTACATGGTCCCGTCTGCTTTACCTCAACCTCGGAAGAGTTGGAAAAGGAGAGGGTTTTAGGAGCTTCGGTGCCGTGCACCAGTGTGGACCCGAAGTGCTGACATCACCGCTGTCGTGTACGCAAGCGCCCAGCTCTACGAAAAAAATCGCAAGAGGACTGACTTGTCACTTTTCACAATTTGTAATTTTTGGTGGGTGCTCCTCCACGACCATGATAGAGGGAAGTCAAAAACGGAGCACGGCAGCACCGTCGCCAAGAGATTACATGCGCATGAGCTCAGTGATCGCGATTCATGTGCGCCACTCCCTGACAAAAACCAACACAAAAGCATTGCCATTCACGCACGGCAGAAATGATAACTGATCCAACGTCAAAGGCATCACGGCAGTGTTTTCTTCAGCCGTACCGGCAAAGCCATCAGCTCCCAATTTCAACGTCGCCGAGCCCATCAAACACCCGGCCGGTCACACAATCAAAACTGCCGGCTGGAACGAACACCGGTCTTCTTGCCCTGTCGCGAGTCGACGACTTCCAACCAAGAAAAAACACACCCAACAGTTAACCCAGCCCTTCTCCCGGCGCCGCTCCTCCGCGTGCGGCAACGACCCGACCGGCAAGTTGCGCCGCCAAGACGTCGGACTTCCTTTGCGTTGCCCCGTACCGTCGCAACGCCGCCGCTAGCCTCCCCGCCCCCCCACCTCCGTCCAGCCGACCCCGCTCCCGCACCACCGCCTCCAACGCCGCCATCTCGTCCTTCAATGCCGCCGCAGCGGCGACCAGGAGAGCCTGTCCTTGTCCGGAGGCGTGGTCGGCCGACGCCAGCGTATCGTCGGGCAGCGCGCCCGCGGCGACGGTTAGCAGGACCGCGGGGGCGGAGGGGGAGTCGCCGGCCCGAAGGGTGCACCCGGCCGCGCGCTCCGAGCACCCGTTGACACGCACGGCGGCCCCGCCCGCCCAAGCCTCGGGCAGCGCCGCGACCTCCGACAGCGATCGCACCGCCCGCGGGAGAGCGGCCAGGCTCGTGGTCGAGGTGGTGGACGGATCCGAGGAGCTCAGGAGGAGGTCGAGGCGGGTGCCGACGTCGAAGAGCCCAAGATGCTTGCAGCCGTCGCCGTCGCCGTCGCCGTCGCCGGCCCCGCCCCTCCGGCCCCGCGCGGCGGCCGCCTTCGCGGAGCGGTGGTGGCCGAACAAGTCTTGCCCCGCCTGCTTGTCCTCTGGTGCCTGAGCCAGCGATGCCCCGCCGCCGCCCAGGCCGAGCATATCCTTAGGGGAGACAAGGACGCGCGCAAACATGAGGGAGCGGGAAGGACGATCAAGGGTATCGCCCTCACGAGCTCCTGCCTCGGAGCGTACGGATGGCGTTCTTGTCCCTCCACCGGGGGCCGTCGGTGAGCTGCCGCCGCCCAGGCTCCAGCTGCACGAAGCGTAGAGAGAAGCGGCCTTTCCGGGGACCACCCCACCGCCACCTCCGCTGCCTCCTCCCGCCAACAACCCGAAAGGCACTTCGACGCACGCTCGGACCGTTGCCGATTCGCCCGGTCGGAGACGCGGGCACACGGCACTGCGTGTTGCGAGGTGTCCCGAAGCAGACGCGACGGTCAAGCACACATTTACAACAGTCACCGTAGGTCCAGCCGCCGCCGCCGCCGCCGCCGCCGCAGGCGTAGCTTCTGCCGCGTTACCCGCCTTCGGAGGCGACGGGTTGCGGACGTGGGCGTCCAAGCAGAGCACGCGGGAAGGCGGGTGGAACCGAACGCGAGCGATCGCGCACTGCAGGGGGGCGGGTGGTGGTTCTTCGGCAACCCTCTCGTGGACATGATGACCGCTCGGCAGCGTCGACACGCCACCACCGCCGCCGCCGCCGCCAAACGCAGGGGCCACCAGCCCATCCAAAAAGAGCCAAGCGTTCGAGGAGGCTCTGGGCGAGCCCGCGTCCTCGCCGTGATTGCCACCGTCTGCGCGCAATTCGCAGCCCCCCCCCCAGGCGCCTCCGCTTTCGACGCTGGCCGTGAGCGCCAGCTTGGCTGCTTCCAGGGCGGCCGCCTTGCCTCGCCTAGCTTGCCGTAGGTGCAACAGCCGCGCCTCCTCCGCTTGCACACGTCGCCGCAAAACTCCCACGACACTCGAGAGGCGGCTGAGCCTGCCATCCTCGTTGCCGTCCGCCCCCCCGCTGTTGCTTGGCTTCGCCAACGCCACAGAAGACCCGCTCGCACCACTACTCGCAGCTACACCGGCCTCGTCTCCCAACCCATTCGATCGTTGTCGCTTCTTCCCCTTCGTGGCTCCCTTCGGTACCTCTGCACCTCCCGTCAAGGCGACGGCTCCCCTACTACCACCAGCACCGCCCTCGCCGTTAACACCGCCGGGCGGGGTCGTCGGAAGATCCTCCCGTCGCTCGTTCCCCCAGACGCAAGAGCAGTCGGTTACCAGCGCCCTCTTCACGAGACTCTTGAGCGGCAGCTGCTCCCACCCGGCGCCTCCGGTCTTCGACGCTGCCGCTCCCCGCTTCCCAGGTTTGCCGGCTCCACCCCCGGAGCCGCCCGCCCCCGTCGAAGCCGCGGAGAGAAACGCCACCTGCTCCCGACCATTGCCCAAGAAGTCTCCTTTGAACGCGGCGGAGATGCCTCGGTGTTCCTCCACCACCGGAAAGTCGCAGCCGTCGCGCGCCAGGAGCAGCGCGGTTCCGGCCTGGTCCGCCAAGAGCACCGCCAGCACTCCCAGTGCGTCGTCTACCGCGGCCGCCATCACTGACGACGGCGGGGCCGGGAGCAGGCGGGCACAAGACAGCGCCCCCCTCTGCAGCTCCAACAGAGCACCCCCATTCCCCTCCGCTGCGGTGGTAGCCTCTGCCCCACCCCGGCCGCTGTTCAAGGCCACGCCCGCGTAGAAGGTTGGGGGTAGCGACTTCAGGATCAGCCCGCCGTCGCCGGCGGCGGTGCCTTCTGGTAGCGCGCCCGATGCTAGGCCGACCACGCCTGAGTCCATGTCTGGGGCGCGGGAGAGACAAGTGGGGGAATGATATCTCGACTCAGACGCCAGCCCGCACCATGGTGCCAGCGAGGCTCCTCCCTCCCGATCAATAAAGAGCGACGTCCACTGGGGGGGCAAATGCGGTGGTCGAGCGGGGTCTTCCGCCTTTGCTGCTGACGAAACCGCGGCAGGAACAGCAGCCGGCAGGGCCACAACCGCTGCTCGTACGCCGTTGCATTGGCGGAGGGATTCCCCGGGCATGCTCTCATCCCCGCACCCCGAATAACTAAAACTAGCGTCCCGCGTTGCTGCCGGAAAGGGGGCGCCAGGCGGGCATACGAGGAGGGTGCTGCTACCCGTGCCGACTGCTCGTTTCCTCCCGCGAGCAGCAGCAGTAGCAGCAGACTCTCCGCTGAGAGGAGAAGGGGTTGCCTCTACCAAGTCTTCTCCATCACGAGCAGCGGCAGCATTCGCAGCGGCAAGATCCAAACGGAATGGTGGTGCTGCTGCTGCGCGCCGCTTCCCGCCGTCGCCACCAACCAACATGCCGCCAAGTCGAGTGCCGTCGTCGTGGTCTTCACCTTCTTCTCCGCCCCTGCTTACCGCCGGCAGCGGTACTCGATGCCCTCTCCACGACCCGACGGGACCTCCCGGACGGAAAATCTCTAACCCTCGCCAAGGCTCGCCATGTCGTGCAGCCGGGCGATGTATGACAACCGGCCCGTCTACCACCTCGAAGGCCCTGGGCAACGCACAAGCTGCCACTACCGATATCTTATTCTGCGCGCGCCGGCTATTCCCGCCGCCGCCGCCGCCGCCGCTGGTGTCTTGCACGGCTTCGGTGGAGACAGCTAGGGGGAACGAGTCAACGGAGAGGGCGCAGAACAGATCGTTCGGGGAAAGAGTGATCAGGTGCGCGGTGTCCACGCCGCGCTTGCTGCTGCTTCTGCTGCTGCTGCTGCTACTGCTGCTGCTGCTGTTGCGCGAGGCCGCCGCCATCGTCGTCGTCTGGGCGGCAGCAGCCGTGTTCGCGTCAGAGGCCTTCCCCATCCCGCTACTGCCGTCAGTTGCTGATGAAGCCAGCTCGCAGAGCAGGACGAACACGCACCGGCAGTGCAACGTCGCGTGCATAGCCTCCTTGGTCGCGACAATCTTGGCCCCCAAGCCGAAGCTCAGCCGGAATCCCTTGCTACTGGAGCTTGGGCTGCTGCTCGCAGCCGCTGCTGCGCCGTGTACAGCACTTGCACCGGTGGTGTTTGGCACAAGGACGGGTTTGGATCTTCCCCCGAAGCGCCGCCTAACGGAATCGAATTTTGATTCCGACATGTACAGGACGTAGCTGTTGTCGTTCCCACCCCGCGGCCCACTCCTGTCGTTGGCATTGCCGCCACCGCTTGACTGCTGCTGTGGTGACGCCGCCGCCGCTGCCGTTGTCGTGTCGACCGTGAGGTTCGCCTGGACCAGCGCTGAACCTGCCGCCGAGGTGGAAGCGACTGGACCGTAGTGAGAGGACGGCGGTGCTTCGCCATGGCGGGAGCTACGACGCCCCTTCTTCTTAGAGGGATCCGCCTCGTTCCCTGTTGCGGTCGGCGTCATGCTGTGGCTGCTGCTCCTGCTGCTCTCCGGCAACCTCTAGGCAAGAACGCGGGGGGATCGGCACATACGACGATCCTGATCCACGTGGGGGGTGATGCGAGGGACTGTCATCTTCTACGGGACCCCCACACTGACGATGTGGTGGCCAACTCCGGTTGTTCGTCTCGCCAGCAGGCTCTCGCCCTCTGTGCTATGCGTAGCGTCGGGAAGAGCCAAAGAGGCGAGCCTACATAAGATTGGATGTCGCTGGAGGGTATGGGTGCGAGTCAACGTGTTGAGGGTAGCAGCGGCCGGGTGTTTGCGCACGCACACCGCAGCCAAGGATCGCGACGAACCGTTTCCCTATAGAATCTCGAAGATACAGCAGAAGTACTACGCTGCTGTAATGGGGAGCGGGGCGTCTTGCGCAGAGCGGAATTTGACACCGCTGGACGAGAGGCTTCGGACAATGTTGATTCTAAGGTGCTCTACAGACTCGTATAAGTAAACTGAAATCCAGCATACATGATGTCTACACCCAGCCTCGAGTGTGTTTGACGAGATATGCATACAACTGACGTAGTATGCGAGCTGCACCGCTTGTATGCAACTACATAGTCGTCGTCTACATGTCATGTACACTGCAGCAGTCTCCCGCGCTCGGTAGACATTGGTCGCACAGCGAACATTTTCCTTCCTGACGTGACCCAGCAGCCCTTCGAGTCAATGTACTCCACAGCAGAAGAAATGATCTCCTGGTGTTCGTACAACACTTCCATCTTGACATCTTGAGCCACAACCATCGAACACATGTTTTTCTCCTCCTCCAATCTACACTTGTACGACCAATCCAACTCCGAACGCCAGGGCTTACAACTGCCGGCCACGGGACTGGACCATGAAGGACCAGTTCGATGCTGCTGCTGAAAACGGGGTGCTGACCAAGGTATAGAGTAAGCGTATTGTCGAGAACTTCCTCTTGGAGAAACTTACACGATGGTATTTTCTGGAGAAACTTTCGTCTACTTTTTTTTGCCGATACCCGACACATGCAACACAAAATGCATAGCTACTGAAAGCTCTGTGCTGTCGCGAGGCCAAAAAGGGTGCTCTCTGCTCTGGAAACTAAGACTAAGGACATGGTGTCGGATCGACAGAGCGTTAACACGTATACATGTAGTACTGTGTACGTGTAGCCGAAAAAATGTGTGGGTGGGTTCCATTGTGCATGCATACTCGAAACCCACCACCACCTCCGTGAGTGTCTGCGCTACTTTCCCCCCACTCGTGTAAGAATAGCTGCCCTTCGAGTAATTGCCGAAGTTCCGGGGACACCGCTATCGCAGAATGGATGTTGAGGTTGCGCACTAGAAGCATCATTCTGGTCCCGTTCAGCGTTCAGGCGCTTAGGGCTCAGACAAACTGAGGGTTGTGAACATGGGTGGGCCGGCGGCGAGTTTGCTGCGGTCGGGAGCTACAGTACATGTGTTTCATGTCTTGCCCGTCCCAGGTAGTCTATGTCGACGAAACAGAACCTTGAATATGAGGTAAGGGTTCCTCGAAGGCAGGTCAAGATGATCTTGCTGTGGTTTGAGCAGCTCGAATGGCTACACGGATTGTTTCTGTTGATTTTGGGGCCTATCCTCCCGGACTGTCTCCTCATCTCGGTTCTCATCCGTAGTAGCAATGTCCTGTACCACACCGCGCCGCTGAATTCCAGGACCACCTGCGGAAAGCTCTTCGGCTGGGGGAATGCCCTCGTATCGAGGCCCTCCTCGATCGCAGCATCTTGTTTGAGCCTCCCGACGCAGGCGCCCGGCAAGCACTCTCCGCTCCTACCGCCGGTTCAATTTCGGTGGCCGCCCTCATCACCTTCATCGAAAACGGTAGCAGACGACCACCGAACGACGTTCCACGGCAACGAGATCGGGACCGGCATCAGCAGCACACGTCTTCCTCCTCCTTGGTCGGTAGCGGTGACTGCTGCCCGCCCCCAGGGCGCCCGCCTACACCACTGTCGCCACGGCCGTTCTGCACCATACCGTCACCGTCATCGAAACCATCGGCTGACGAAGTCGGAAAGAGATCGTCAGCCGATTTTGCGGGTCCTACAGCAACTTCGGGTCTCTGTCGTCGGGCAAGGACGTCGGCCCCACCAGAGTGCCCGGCAGCAACGACGGCTATGGCAGCCCCTGCCGACCCGGACGAACGGCACGCCGCTGTCGCCGACGACGTCCCCGTTGACAGCACCGGAGTGAAGCTCTTGACCCCGCGCATCGTTCCCCTGACCTCGATTCGGGCCCTCTCAGCAGCAGGGGCAACAGCGGCAGCAGCAGCAGCGGAAGGCCCAAACAGCACCGACAATGACGCCAGCTTCACTACGTCAATTTCTAGAGCAGAACGAAAAGAGGAATTTTCTCGCCACAGCTCCGTACATCCATCCGGAGGGGCACTCGGGCACGGAAGAGCGGCAGAAGTAATGGGGGAACGGAAATTTGAAGCGGGAAGCCAGGAAGACCACAAGAAACGGCGGGGCGGGGGGCCTTGCACGACTTTGGTGCAGCACTTAGGCACGGTGTTGGGCCTCCGGGGGAAGGAGGCGTATCGACGGCCGGGCCCCGGCAAGCCGGTGTGGCGGAAAAGGGAAACCCTGATCCAAGAGAAGATCGTGCAGTACACTACATTGGACGAGGAAGGAGCGGTAAGCCTAACCCGAAGAGTGGCGTTGGGTTTTTGTTCTCAAACAACCTTTGAATACCCAAGATTGGTCCAGGCAATCAAGGCATATCACAGCATGCCCCAGGGACCTGAATACATGACTACAAATTTCGTCCACCATGCATATCTTATACGAATTGAGGTAGGTATTGTGCCGCTGAATCGTCTGGTTCGGCGGGGTCGCTGCGACATACGCTTCCACTTTGTGACCAATTTCCCGCTTTGCTCGAATGTAATGCATGCCGTGTTGCGTGGTAGTCATCCTACGGTAGAGGTGACTTTCTGGTCGACCATTAAACGAACAAAACTGGCCGAAAAAAACATGTTCACGACGAGTCCGACTAGGTTCCCTTGCCATTTCCAAGCTTCGTGGACACGCACCTTCCGGTGCGAAATCACGGGCACTCTACCCTCACGTGTTGGACGGAAGTAAGTGCTGATGCGGTACAGTTGTCTCTTAACGACACCCAAGATGGGAGTAAACAACAGTAAAGTGCAGGTCCTACAATGTAGATTGGGAGTGAATCGGCCAACAACAAGGCCAGGAACTACTCGGTAAACGGGAGCAATTTGTGGTGCTATCCGTGGGTCTGAACTGAATCGACCAGCAACAGTTTCTAGATTTATTTGGTAGACGGCAGTAGACTGCCGGTTCAAAGCCGTGGGTCGGGACTAAATCGGCCAACAACGGTTTCAGGAAATGTTGGCGTTAGGTTAATGACTGAATCGACCAACAAGGACTCCATGAACTGTTCTGTAAATGGTAGAAAGTTGCCAGTTCTAAACCGTGGGTCGGGGACTGAATCGACCGGCAACAGGTTCAGGAGTTGTTCGAGACCGAGAAAAGTCAAACCGAGGTGCTGCACATGGAGTGCAAGCGAACGGGCGAGTTCGCACACCGAGAGAGCACCCACTACGAGAGCGGGGAGACTTTCAACGGCGAGGTGGGGCAACATGTCACGTTCGCTTTTTTCATGTCTGCTCTCCAGATTCAAACGAGTGCTAGGTACACGTCGGTTCTGACGCTAGATGATCCTCCAACAAACAAACATTGTTCATTTCTCAGCGCCATACGCTTAGAACGTGTGCGGCCGGGAGCTTACGTCTCGGATGTGCTAATCCTTAGCCCTTCCGACACACAGATTCTGCTTGTAGCACCACAAGAACCACTGCTAGAACTGCAAATCACCCCTCAACGATAGTTGGAATCGATCCGTACGGAAAATCACTTTTTCCCGCTGCAGAGTGCAAGCGGCAGTGGCGATGTGTGACCAGCTTGCATGAACATGCCAACGCCGAACATTCTAGGTCGTGCTCGAGGAAGCGGGGGTAGAGCGCTACGTCCATTTCAGGTCTGTCGATGACGAGTACGAGCACCTGGAGTCCACGCTTCCAAGCCGATGGCGCAGCGGAGGGGCGGCTGGCGGCGTGGGCGGAACCCCTGGAGCGGAAGGAGTAGAAAGTGGTCCTGGCGCAAACCAAAACGGCGAAGACAACGACACCACTGTCAACGAGGGCCGGGGTTTCGATGATGGTGGCCTTCGTGGGGATGGGGGGCCGGGTATAGGCCAAGCAGCTGGAGAGCGCCTCAACGGCGGTGCTGGTGATGGCGGACGGAGCCAGCACGCCGGCGCAGAGCGCTGCAGCCCCCGCCAACGACATCAACAGCAACCCAACGCTCCCGGCGGAAGCCAGAGCCACGGAGAACCTGCCTCCACGACTTACGTGCCACTCGACCAGCGAGCGGGAATGAACGACCACGACGACGACACCGACAGCTCGCAACGAGATGCGGCCCACCGCGATACAGCGCCGGGCGAGGACCCTGCCGGCATTCTAGAGCAGCATCCCCCCGCCGGAGCGAGCGGGGTCGCCCCTAGTCTCAGGGCCAAAGGCAAGCGGTTCATCTCGCCTTCGCCGTACCACTACCGCTCGCCGTCTTGTTCCCCGCGACTCTCCCCGCGGCCCGCGCGGTCTCCTTACCGCCAGGAGGGCGTCGGAGCGAGAGAAAGCTCGGGGCGCGGCGAGTCCAAGCGGACCTCGTCGCATCAGGGTCCCGCAGAAGAAGGTGCTTCTTTTTCGCGTGGGGGGGTCAAGGACCCTGGAGGTAGTAGTAGCAACAGCGATGACCCCGGGGCGGCACGAAGGGAAAGGCAGGAGGAAGGGGCGGCACGTATTGGGGGAGTAAAGCACAACGATGGCATGACGGCTGAGGAGACCGGCGAGGAATGTTGGTTTTCCGGTGATAGGCCTTCTCAGCCAACAGAAGAAGAGGGACAAGCTAAGAGCAATGACTCTGGCGACTCGAGGACTAGCACCTGCCCTCTGGCAAGCGGCGGCGGTGGCGATGTTGTCGACGGCCTCCAGCCAGGCTTGGGGTGCCAAAATACGTCGCTTGTGCAGAACCTGGAGGCCGGGGGTGATCACCTTGAGCGACCGTTACGAGGTGATACATCAGCAGATGCGTTGAGGAAAGCTGGTGACGACCATGTCGGTGCACACCGGGGGACCCCGGTCGATTTTCCCGGTTTGGGTAGCGAGTGCGGGGGATCGGTGGACTTCTTGGACAATCAGAACCATCAAGGAGAGGGCGGGCGAGAAGACGGAGAGTTCAGGGGAGAGAAAGGCTGGTGGCAGGCGCAGAGCGGCAGCGCCTTGAACGAGATGGAGATCTCGTTCGAAGGGGACAACGTTTCTGTCCTCAACGTCGCCGGAAAGGAGGTAATTGTGCCGTTAGGGGTCGCTGCCACTGGTCTCGAAGGTTGAGGCGCTCCTTGCGGGATGAGCGAGAGGCCTTGTTTGTTGAAGGAACATGACAGTTATTGGAGGTTGGGGCCTACATTTTTTCGCTCAAAAGGTTTCCGTAGCAACAATGAGCTCAAATACAGTAGATCCTTTGCACCTCCCGGCAGAGCTACATGCCACATGGCGCAACCCTCTCGTGCGCATTCTCATTCGACGTGTACCTCTTTGCGGCCGATCGGTTTCCTTCGCTTTCAATGGGACGACTGAAAAAAGATGAATGTCCCAGACGAAGGAAAGGAGGGAACCCCGCGATCGATTTCAAGCAGCAACGTCTTGCTCGGGAGAAACAGCGACGATGCCGACGGCGAGGGCGACGGCAACCACGACGACGACGACGATAATGGCGAAGAGAAAGCCAACGTTTCCCGCCTCCTCGAAGGGCTTCGTTCCGGTGACGAAGCTCCGCCACCGGCGGCCTCACAGCCTGAGGACAAAGGGGGGGACGGAAACCACGGCAGGGCTAGTACGCCCCTGCACGTCGACACAATAGGTGACGGATTCCCGCCTCCGGAGGACAACGGCGACAGGAAGCAAGAGCCGGCAGCCCCGGCGCCGTTCCACAGCCACACATGGGGGCATACTGCAGCAGTCGCAGAGGCCACTCCCGCGACGGCGGACGCACCCTGCGAAGACGTCGGCGGCGGCGAAGGGAAAGCCGCCCGCGCAGACATAGTAGGAAGGCCCGGGTTTCCCGGCCCATTTTCGGAGAGCGACGCTGTTGCTTGAGGGCTTGTGTTCGCCGCGAGGATGAACGATTTTGATCGAGTTCAGTAGATAGTTGCATCACATTATGTACTTTTAGGGGGTAGGTTTGACGTGTCAGGGGGTACAGTGGGCTGGAGGCCTTCCCAACTTACCAAAAAGTGTAAACATGTTTGTTTCGGGAAGATTCGGCAGTCCGTCGTTCGGAGCACCCAGGGGCGTCGCGCCACGCACCATACAAGTTCTGAGCTTGGAACCACACGGCACTGCCCCCTAGCTGGTTGGCCCGGCGCTTTCCCCTACAGCGTTTTCAAAGTCGAGGAGTACGCTGCAGACTGCAGCACTCGATGGAGGTTGCGGCCGAAGAAATACTTAATATTTCTTCCTCAAAACGACACGATTGCTTCAGATTCCAGCTCGACCACGGATTGAATAGTATTCAGGCTTCCAAACACACAAGAGCCATATCCGATGCAAGGCCAGCACTACTGTACGTCAGAACCACTCCTCTACGGTACATGGAAATTTCTAAACAGTTCATCTACGAAAGCGCCATCGCCCTTGAAACGACCACCACCAGTAGCTCCAGGACGAAATCTCTCTCCAAAACGGATGCCAACGGTCAGAAATACCCGTCGTCATCATCGTCACCATCAACTTCACTGCCTCCAACGTCCAACCCGCTGCCACTGTGCGACGAATTCTCGGCGAGCAAAGACCGTCCTTGCAGGGTGCCAAGCACGCCCCCCTCCTGATCTCTAGCCGACCCATCTCCCTCGTGCCCACTGCCAACGATACTTCCCTCGTGCTCATCGAGGCTCGCCTGCCGGTCTAGGTAGCTAGTCTTATCGCCCTCAGGTTCATTGATCCTTGGTTCGTTGTCAAGGTCGCCCGCGACACCCTCCATCTCTGCTATTTGACCTGGGGCACTGTAGCTGCTGTCAAGCACAGCGGCTTGCACCGTAGGGTCTCCTCCAACCGTGGACGAAATCTCCGAGTAATCGGCTGGTGCTTGTTCGCCCCGCGGCGACGCCGATGGTTTCAGGGTCGAAAGAATGGCGTTTTCCTGCTCTGGCTCGAGATTTACATGGTGCGGCCCCTCCGATGATGGTTGAACCTCTTCCTTAGCAAGCAACGGTACGGGACGATCGCCGACAACGGGCCTCGTTGTCTCAGGTTCCGAAGGCGTGGTGGAAAGGAGCGGCGATGGCGCCGGTGTCGAGTTGCTGCTGTTGGTGCTGTGAGGGACGCCACCGAGGCTTTCGTCTGATGGTGGCCGCGACTGCTGTTCGCCGAAAGCAGGAGGTGACTCGGACCGCCGGTCAGCCTCAGGAGCGATTGTAGAAACACCGCTGGATTGAGACTTCGTAGATGTTGTTGGCGGTGGAGCATATGCCCGCGGTTTCGATCCTTCCTCCGGGTTGTTGGCATCCGTTGCGACACGTCCACTCCCGACGAGTGCCTCGCCTGTGTCGGCAACCGGTGGGCGCTTGTTGTCAGGTGTCTGCTGCCTGTCACTTAGCGATGCGGGAGGTTGTCCCCGCGAATTGTTTCCCTTTTCCTCGGGATTCAGGCCCGTATCCCCGCCGTCATTCGTTGTAGAGTGCGCGAAGGTGGACGCCGACACTTCGCCCTGTTTTACTCCCAGCGCTGCTGCGGATGTTCCCTTCCTGCTGCCCCACTTCCCTTCCGCCCTTGCCATGCTCTTGGACGACAGCGAGGCGCCCGCTGTCGACGACGACAGAGACGCGAACAACACCGCCGAGTCTATTCTCATCGGAGTGGCGGCGTCACTACTCTCTGACTCACCTTCTTCCGCGATCGTTCGGTCATCGTCTCGTGCTTTGTCGACGGTGGTCACGACTGGGTTTTCTGTGCCGTATGAGGGCGAGACCTCGTCATTGCCAGCACCGCCATGGAGATTGGCTGCGGCAGGTTCACCTACAGGACGTATCTGTACCTCCACCGCCCGCTCTGACGGAACCCCTTCGATCTTCGCCCCCACAATCGCTGAGGCTTGCGCGCTGTGTCGCAACACAGGTGGCGACACTGGCTGCAGCAACACTTGGTCCGGGTCTTCGTCTACTCCGGCCGGTTGAGATTCCTCTTGATCGACAACCAATGATTGGGCGGAGACTGATTTTCGGACGGAGGGTAATTTCTCTCCCGCCGCGAAAGGTGGGTTCTCCTCGTCGCTAACAAGAGCAAGGAAATGCGATGACGTGGGAGGCAGGAAATGACCATGTGAGGACGAAGGGCAGCATTGACGGTGGACTTAACAGAATCGATTACAAGTCATCGATTGCGCGGGATCTACTACTCAGGCGATGACTTGTTGCCCTCGCACGTCTTGGCGTGGTCTCTTCCGAGGTACAACCCTCGGAGGTTAGGCGCACAACATCCCGGAACATGCTGCCTCTTGGTGAGCTCGCGGCACACACTAAGAGAAGCAAAGCTCAGGCTATCATGCAATTGAGATTGCCGACCATTCGACCAGATAGGACTGTCCGCCGCAACCAACTTTAGTGCTGATGGACGGCTGCGGACCCTGCGTGAACTGCATGGAAGGTCATCTGAGGTAGCTCAAGGGACGAAAAGGTCCCCGGATCACAAACCTTGGTCCTGAAACAGGGAAGGGCACATCATCCCCTCGGTCGTGTCCTTTCGGCTTCTTCTCGAAAAAGTCATCGAGGTACTCCGACACCATCCCGGCAACATTCCCACCGCCCTCCTTCGTGTTGGACGCGACCGATGCGGCTTCATCCCAGGTATGCTCTTGTGCCTCTCTATATGACGATCCCGATTGCTCGCTAGCTCTATCATCACTTCCGCTAGCGTTTCCGGCGTAAGCTTGCCGCGTACTAGCACCGCTCTCACCACAGCTCCTTTCCTGTGCTTCGTCCTCATCGGATAGGCTCCACCGGCTGTTGTAGCTGCGGTCATCGTCGAGGGCTTCACTTGCGCCGGGATGGCCAACCACCTCTCCGTGATCGGTTCGGGGCACTGGACGTTGTTCGAGCGGGCCACCACGATGGCTTCTGATGTCCCTCTCCTCACCCCTCCTTTGGTTTGCCATACTTGGTTCAACGTGTTCATGCCCCCCTGATCTTACCCAGTGACGTTTTCGGCGGGGCTGATTTACGTCGCCCCGGGCCCGTATTTCCTCCGTTTCTATCAGAGCTAGGGCGGGGACCTCGCCTCTACCATCATCCCCGTCCCATCCCCTTGACGGCATGTTTTCTTCCCACACACTCCCCCCGAAGTCCGAGAGTCGGTTGTTGCTCCAGCCGCTATCGTTTCCGCTACCATCTTCCGTCTGAACCTCGTCCACGTCTCTGTCCCTACCGTTTCCGCCATCCCGTGGAAAACTCTCCGGGATTCCGCCCCCCTCGCTGTGGTCCAGTCTCTCGTCCACTTCGCTCACGCTCGATTGTCGGCGGACATCCGAGTGTTTTCTCCGCCGCTCTCCCCCCGCGCGGGAAGGCGCGAGCGGGGGCTTGCCTAGTGGAATTGCGGGAGGTTCATCCTGCTCTTGGTAGTCAACATCTTGTCCAAGAACGTGGAGATCTTCTTGCCTTGGAGAGCTGCTGTCGCCCGATCTTCGACGCCGCGGCGGCGGCGGCTGCTGCTGCTGTCGTCGATACGGCTCTTCGTCTGCGAGCTGGGTCCGTTTTCTTCTCCCCGACTTCGGGCGCTCGTGCTCGACTGCCAAGGACTCGGCACCATCGCCGCGCGATCTATCGCTCCTCGGCGATTTGTCCTCCAAGTTTGGGTTCTCCTCTAAAGCGGCCGCGATGGCGGCCTCGATTTCTCTCCTCTGTCTCGACAGCTGTTGCAACTTGTTGGCGTTGGTGTCGGCCGACACGCCTTGTTCTGTCACCTGGGCGTCACCGGGCGCCACGGGCGCTTCCGCGCGAGGCGTTGGATGGGCATTAGGTGGCCGGTCTCCGGAGTGTCGCGCAAGTCGGGACTCCAGCTCGCGGATACGCTCTTCTCGATACCTGGGGACACAAAAGTTCGAGAACGTAGGGCGGTGGTGGGGGGGGCTCCGAAGCAGTGTCTGTTTCTTCGACTTAGGGTTTCGGCTGCCTAGGACAGACAGCGCGCACGTTTGTCTACCGCATATTTAGCATCAGACACTTTACCTGGTGACTGGAAGCGGTGCCTATCAGTCAAAAAAGCACTTCACGCCCAACCTTGACCTGCCTTACGCGTGGACACCAAGGGACGTGTATGCAGTCCGATTGTATATACCTCGCGATTTTCTGCTGGGCTTTTCTTGCTCGTCGTGCGCGCTCAGCTCGAGCCGTCCTTAGGCGGCGTGACTCGTCTCGCAGCGCCAATGCCTCCCTTATTTCGTCGGCGCTCTGCCGGATGTCCGAACGCAATCGCGCAGATGCCGCCATCCCGCCCAAGCGCTTGTTGTCTGGGCACGTGGGATATTGAAGAGTGAATGCCTTTGACTTTTTTTTTCTATGGAAGGTTTGCACCAAGAGTGTCCCTGGGACAAGTCGAAGCGAATTCGTGGGTGGTTCGCACGAGAGTACAAAGTCGTGTTCGCTTTGGTCGAACTTCCAACAACGCTGTTGCAAAGGTGAATGTATTCAACGGATCTTCGACAAGACTGCTGGGACAAGATTTAACATTGCCTAGATCGCCGCTAGCGTCTTGTGTCGATCCCCACAGAGCAAACGCGATGACAAGAGTGATGCAATGTCCGTGCCCGGGCAACAGAGTGGTCGACGGGAACTGGAATTTGCGGGGGGCAAATTCCTGCGGAAGTAGAAAACTTTTTTGCGAGGCATTGATTCGGCTCACAACTCCAGCTCAAAGGCTTCATTTCCCCAGGTGACCATATTGCCGGCACCGACAGCCGAGTCCGTCGGATGAGTCTGCGATTTCTCACCTCCAAGCGCTCGTGACCGATCTGCCGAACATCCACGTCGCGGAGACATTTGCCGACATCCGGTTCGAGCGGAAACTCGGCCGGCACCTCGTGGCGGTGAGCTTGGCCTTCTCCCGAA